TCATTTATTACGTTTCCCATGCAAGAAATACAAGAAATTTTAAGCTTGAAAGAAAATTTTATCACTGTATTTCACTACCAACATTTTGGCTGGAACACCACCCAAACTGACTCCAGATTTCAGTCCATACTAAAACTGGTGACAGTGTCCCTGAATGGGAAACAACAGAAAACTAAGTACAAGACTAAGTATTCTACTCTAAGTTGTTCTGTTTCTGCAAATGTATAAATGCAAACATGTACTTCCATTTCAATCACCTGCATTTTGCTACTTTCACATCACAGAAGAAATAAGATTTAATCTCAGAGGAGGTAAAGCAGCATGAATTAGTTAAGAAGTTGACCCATTTCCAGTACCTCTTCTACTTCGTATTATAAGTAACAGTTCTGTTGACTCAGATGAAATCTTTAGGATTAAAAAGAAAAATCAATCTTTCCCTTCAGGTTCAGGCTTTGTTTAGCTGAAAGAAATACTCCAAAACTCCTGTGAGGAAGAATGAGAAGTGATAAAACCCTGATCAACCTGTTGCCCGTGCTCCTCCACGGCCAGCCGAGCATCTGAAGGGCTTTCAGCTGCAGATCACTGCCCCACCTCCTCCCCACCGACGCAGCAGGTTCAGCCTGGAGCTGCCTCTCAGTTAAGCGCAGTTTCCAGCCTGCTGTCTCAGCCAGGTTTGCAGCCACGCACCGAGCACTTCTTTTGTATTCCAGTGACACCCCGTGGCATTTCCCTAAGACTGCAGGCTTTCCCAGTCCCAATAATCACATCATTAACCGTATGGGTAAGAAACAACGAATAAAAAACCAGATAAAGGACACTGCAACACCGAGCTGAAGGACTGCTGGTGCATGCACTGTGGAAAGAATCTATTAATGAATAGAATCTATTAAGAATCTTTTAATGCCTGAGCTTCCCGGGTCTTTTACTGCAACAGGGAGCTGCTCTAACACTGCAATATTCCTGTCTGAGTTACATGAGTGACTTCCAAGAGATATCCTAACTAGCACCGAGAGGACTGCAGCGTGTGATCATAAAGTCTCTGTTTTCACTGCATTAGAACACACCCACCCACCATTTCAAGAGTGTAATTTCTATATGCATCAGCATATAAAAAAAAAGAAAAACAAAAGACACAAGTGAATTCGAACAGCAGCCAAACAATTTTAATGCTTGCTCTTAACCTCGTGGAAAACACCCTCTTTACAAACAGCAAATGCCCTTGCTTTTGTCCTTCAGCTCTTTACCACATGAAGGAATATACTCAAAGTGGGTCTCTTAATACTGCACTGCAGGACATTTTGCATTTACTGAACACATCAAGGGCCACCCTGGGCATATCATGTGTCTCCTCTGAAATTATATCCTGCAATAACAGTAAACATTTTGAAACGTGGGAGAAGGGTGTGATAATTCACATTGTGCTGGTTGGTTAACCATAATATTTCTCAATAAACTACACATGTTTCTAATGGGAATGTTTCTTCACATGCAATTTTCAATGATGTAAAACATCAGGTTCAACAGATGGATGCACGTCAGAAAAAGATGCCCACAGACACACCAAATGGAAGGTGGGAAGAGAAATTTCACTGGCCCTTCAGTCAAAGATTCCATCAAGTCTTAAACTTATGAGCAAGACAGTGATGCTGAAGAGAAGTACACAAATGTGAAGGAAAGACAGAAAAGAAAAAAAACACCTAACCTGATTTTTAATTCCTCTGAGAACTCAAAAACTTGGGGAAAAAAGTTCTCTATGTGCTTCCTCATCACATGTTTATCCTTGTTTAGAAAGATTCATCAGCTACACTCCAGTAGAACACACTAAGAAAAAAGAGCAGAAAATCCTGTGGAGTGAGATCTGACAAAATTTTGTTTTAAATGCAAAAAACCTCTAAACATCCATCCTTCCTCTACACACTATGCCAGAAAGAAAAATATGTTTTTTAGAAAAGTTTTTTTCCTGCCTGAAAAATGACATAAAAAGGTGAGAAGAATCCTTTCAAGCTGCCTAACACAAGCTTATGTTTCCTGTCACTGGAGGACAACTCAAGATCCACACAGCATCGCTACAGCTTCACAAGTTTCACCGCTGTTCTCTCTCACAGATTTCTCATCATCTCCCTCTGCTTTTCTGCTGGAGACGTCCACCAGCTATAACGAAAAAAAAAACACTGTCAAATTTCCCTTTAAAATATAAGGAGACCAAAATGGCACTCCTTATGCTGGACCTCTCTTTCAAAACTCTTCCTGCCACGTAACTTGGGCTTCCTTGTCACACTATTCCCAGGAAAACTGTACCCTACACTTCTCACTTTGTTCTTTGTGAAATACCTTTCTTGATAAATAACAAAGCAACGTAAACATGCATAACAGGCAGCATAGTGAGTAAAGATCTCACTGTATTAGCCACAATGTACTCACTTACATTAATGACTGAGAGATCTCTGCTTAATGTGCCCTTAAAAACATCAAGAACAGAAATGCCACCACCTTACTGAGCAACCTCTTCCCATGCTTTTCTTAGAAAAACAGGGGTATTATTCGTAGGAGAAGACTCAGGTTATTTTGGGCTGCTTGTGCACAACAATCCAAAGACCACAGGACAAAACAAAACAAAAAGAAAATTATCATCCCAGTCTTGTGCAGCACGGCCAGGCAGGCAGTAGCAACAGCTTCAACAATTAAAATGTCTAGCATTAAAATTATTCTATAAGTACTGAGATTTCCTCCACTGAGATACCTCAGAACACAAAACAGGGCTGCTGACTTAACCTCAAATAACTTCTTTCGCTTCTTCGTGCTGAATACCTGTCAATGCAGAATTCTAGACACAAGCAGGAAAAAGTTTCTTCCCCAAGAAAGCTTCCATAGAAAAAATAATGCTTGTTAAGAAAGACAGAGAGCCTTTTTACCAGGGCCTGTAACGAAAGGACATGGGAAAATGGTTTTAGGCTGGAAGAGGGCAGGTTTAGAATGGACATAAGGAAGGAAGTTTTGTTATGATGAGGGTAACATGGAACAGGCAGCCCAAAGAAGTAGTGGATGCCTCATCACGAGGGGTCTCCATGGTCAAGTTGCTCTGAGCAACCCTCCAGCAGCCTTCCAGCACCTGAAGGGAGCCCGCAAGAAAGCCAGAGAGGGACTTCTCACAAGGGCTCGTGGCTGTAACTCTGAGGCACAATTTTTTCCTGTAGGAGTTGAGGAAAACCTAGCAAGAAAGATGCAATGAATATGACACTGGCAGATTGTTCCCAGTGAAGAGTGCACAGTGCTGAAGATCTCCAGCTTCACTGATCACAAGCTCAACTCAACATGGCTTAGGAGGAACAAGTGGTTTTGCCTCTCAGGAACACGCACGTTTATGTGACCATGTGCTCTTTCAGTCCATTTTATTTAATTATTAGGCCTCTTTTGAGATTTAAAAGCAAAATAAAACTGCTTGGCTTTGCTCAGACAAAGAGAAACGAAATAGAATAATGAAGCCCACAAAGAATAAGTTCACCTCTTCAGCTCCCCAAGCTAGCAGATCACAAGGCACAAGTCTTTAGAATTAGCTCCTAAAATCCTGAAACTTCTTCAGCCTTTCCAGAAAAATAATCTTTCATGTGAAGAATACAGATAAAGAGACCAGTCCAAAACAGAACAGCCTCTCAACCGGGCCTGTGGCAGATCTGTAGTCTCTCAAGAGACAACTCAACAGGCACACACTGCTTTTTGTACTGAACACAAGTATCACAGACTGGTTGTCCAAGTAACAACAACTACTTGAGGCCTTGTGCAACCCAGGTTTGCTCGCCAGTCTGAGGCCGGGTGGAACTGAAATTCTTTGTCATCGCGCTCTTACACATACACAGCAACCTCCCTGCCAGATATTGTAGCATCTCCTAAATGTAGTCTCTCCTAATAGAACTTTCTCATTTCTTTTTTGAGGATTTCTATTGCATCATTTACATTTCAAGCTGTCACTGGCACAATCCTGGTTCTGCCTTACACACAAAGCAGGACAAAGCATTTGCTTTACAGGCAAAGCATGCTCTGCTCTGTTTAATGCTCTCCCTACCTTTCTGCCTCTTCTGCTGCAAACAGCAGTCAGTGCTGCACACTTCTAGACCCTATCTATCAGTACCCCACAAAATGCCAATTGCTTTGCCTGACAGGCTATCATAATGTCCGCAGTTTCATGTTCCAGGGTCCTCATGCAGTAGACGTAAACAAATAAAAAAAAGGTAACGAGTTTCTGGCCAAAAATTGATGCTGTGCTGCTCCGTTTCCTCTAGTGATGCCTTCAGGGCAAAGTGACTCCAATAACTTCCCTAGCCATCATTTCCTCCAGCAGCAGGGAGGGCTGAACATCCCAGCTCCGTCCTGCACGGCACGAGCAAGTGCTGATGCCCATGTGTGCCCACACAGCAGGCCTGGCATCTTCCAAAAAAACATGAGCTCCCCGAGTGTCCACTGCACAGAATAAGAACACAGAACGAGTGCAGGGGATGTATGAAAAAAACAGCGTGAGGAAAAGAAACAAAGAAAAGTCCATCAGTCCATCTACCCCACCCCAAAAAAAAACAGGAGCAAAATCTGCTCTGTGTCGGAAACTCCCACAAGATATCTTGATTTCGAGCAACTGAATGCATGCACAGGTAGTTATGACTCTGAGAGAGTAACACACATAACAGACTAGAGCAAAACTGGAGATCCATTATATATCAGGATGTAACATAGCATATCTCATCAACCAGTGGTACAGGGCAAGCTGGCGTGCTCAGAACTGTTCTGTCTTCACTGCGGAGATTACCAGCACACCTCTAAACCAGTTCATCCACTCTTTAGAAGGTTGTGACAGAACAAAAGAAAGTAAGGTTTAAAACAAGAGGGACAGTGAAAAATAGGGACAGAAATATGAACTTCAGTAGGAACCTCGGGATACACAAAGCACACATTCCATTAGGCACAAAAAACAAAAGACGTCTTTTAAAAACAGAGGAAGAGCAACCACCTACCTTTCAAAAGGGGCTGGAAAGTTGGAATTTCCTGCAGTTTTATGACATCTGGATCATTGCTGACATTCCGTGAGGATTGTGTTCCTGGGGCTACCACCACGATGTCATCCATTTTTGCGCGTTGCTTGGCTGGCAAAGGAGATGCTGGAAGAATATGGGAGGGAAAGGGAACAATCAATAAGCAGATTCCATCAGAATCCAACCCTACGTGAATGTTGCTCTATTTAACACTGCACAGGTATGCTTTTTATAGTACAAACACATCACCGAGATCACTGGAAGGCCCTAAGCTCCTTTCTCTCTTTCCAAATCGGGTTAACAGCTGATTCTGAAACACCTGCAGCACTGACACCCTCCCGACTCCTCCTCCCTCTGTGCCCACTGTTCTCCCAGCTCTCCGGCTCTGCCTCCCCCGGCCCGGGCGGTGCCCCCTCGCCGTCACAGGAAGGGCCGGGCCGCTGCTTCCCAAGGGAACAGCTGTTCCCTGCTGCACAGCCGCCGCCCCTCGCCACCGCCCGCGGGCAAGCCCTTTTCCCGGGGGGGCAGCCCCTTTTCCCGGGGGGGGCAGTCCCTTTTCCCGGGGGGGCAGCCCCTTTTCCCGGGGGGCAGTCCCATTCACGGCGCCCTGTCTCTATTATCCCCCTCCCTCTTCCCCTCTCCCTGCCGGGCCCCGACCTGCTGCGCTGGGCTCCCCCGGCCGGCTCTCGGCCTCGGCGCTCTGCTCGGCTCCCATGGCGGTGCCCGCTCGTTCCCCGCTCGTTCCCCGCTCGTTCCCCGCTCGTTCCCCGCTCGTTCCCCGCTCGTTCCCCGCTCGTTCCCCGCTCGTTCCCCGCTCGTTCCCCGCCTCCCGCAGCGCGGGGGCAGCACCGCAGCCGCGGCCGCCCACGGGGTTCCGGCGGGCCGGGTGATGACGGCGGCGGCTCCGCCCGAGGGCGGTGCTCCGATCGGGGCCGAGGGGCGGTGCGAAGCATCGCTCATCTGCCGGGGAGGGAGCTTGAGGGAGGTGACACTACTGAGTGAGATCGCGTCTGGAGTACTGCGCGCCCCTCCGGGCTCCTCAGGGTAAGAGGGTCCGGCAGAGGCCACAGAGATGATGAGGGGTCTGGAGCGTCTCTGTTACGAGGAGAGGCTGCGGGAGCTGGGCCTGTTTAGTCTAGAGAAGACTTGATAGGGGATCTCATTAATACATATAAATATCTCAAGGGCAGGTGCCAAGAGAATGGTGCCAGAGGCTTTGGTGGTGCCCGGCAACAGGAGACAAGGAGTAATGGCCATGAAGTAAAACACAAGAAGCTTCATCTCAACACAAAGAAGAAATTCTTTACACTGAGGGTGGCATATTTTCATCTCTGTGCATATTTTCACATTCACTATCATTACAGTGCCCTCACACCATTAACACTATCCCAACAGTCCCAGTAAAGAAGGAGTTTCACCACCCTCCACCAACCCAGCCAGACCTTTGGCCTTATTTTTCGACTTCTTTCTGCTTGGCTTCTTCCATCACCACTCTGCAAGCAAAGGCAGGTGGCAACTGCAACTTTGTCTGACCTGGGCTTGCTTTTAGTATTCATTTCCACTGTCATTCACTGTGTGATGCAGTTAATAGGTGACACGTTAAGTGTTCACATTCTCTTACAGCTTTTTCTTTAAGCAGTCAGTGTTACCAGTTTATCAAAAGAGAGATGCCTGGCTAGAAAGAAACATTTTCTTAAACAAGTGCAGCTGAAAATTTCAGATAAAAACACCCCACCAAGAATGTGAGAATCACAACCGAACATTAAGAACTGCCCCAAAACAGCCATTTGATGCAAAATGTGATGGTGGGTTCAATCTCTTAGAACAATCATGGCCAAAAAAAAGCCAAATTAACAGCCATATTAACAAAGGGGACTGACTGGGCATCAAGAACATCCATCCCTTGCCATCTAACCATTACAATATATAAAATAACCCGCCCTTTGGTATCTCTTCAGGTAACGTACCATCTCTAAAATGTCTTTTAATTACAGGAAACTAAATAAAAGGTCTCGTTCCTGAAAAAGAAGGAATATGTCCTATAATCCTTCCATTCTTTGCACTCTTTGTCCCTGGGCTACTTTTACTCCTAAACACTACCCCAAAAAAATAATAAAAAAAAAAATTAAAAAAGAGGAAATGAAAAATTTCCAAGGAAAAACATTACTTAAGCAAGCAATGTCACAGAGACAGCTGAGGGAAGAATGGTTAAGCCACCAGTCAGTGGTCCCAGGAGACAGGCTATTCCTCAAACCCCCTGTGCTTGGCTGTGGTTTGGACAGGATTACTCAGGTAGCAAGGAGTCTCTTACACAGCCATGGAAATACATCCATGTCCATTTAGTCCAGGCAGCAAGTCAGGTAGGCAGGTAGCTAGACAGGTAGGTAGGCAGGCAGGCAAGAAGGCAGGCAGGAGGAGGAGGAAGGAGGGGAGGAGGAGGAGGAGGGCGGGCAGGCGGCCCGGGCCCGCCTCCCGCGGTCCCTCCTCCCGGACGTGCCGGGGCACCCGCGGTTTCCCCGCGCCGCCCTCACGATCCTCCACCTTCCCGCCGCCGGGCGGCAGGGGGGACAGCCCGAGGGTGCCCCCAGGAACGCCTCCCCGCCCGGGGAATAGAGGAGGCACCTCGGCGCGGCCGGCCAAGAAACCCGCCCTCCCGGGTCACCATGTCCCCGGGTGGCGGCCGGGGCTTGGTTCGCCTGCTGCTGATCACCTGCGCGATGGCCGGGCCGTCCCTGAGCCAGGAGTGTTCGGCGGAGAGAATGGAGAATTCCATCATCGACATAGACTTGTCCCTGCCCCGGGGTGTCCGGGGCGCGGAGCCGCTGCGCGTCCCCGGTGCGGGCGCTTGTGTGCGCGCCTGCTGCTCGGGGCACAGCCTCGCAGGTAACCTCGGCCGCCCTCCCCGCCGCTGCCCGCCACCCCAAAGCCTAAGATGCCTAGAATGTATTTAGGAGACGCGCTACAAAGTGACTGATATTTTAAAGCACTGATGGTTTTTGTATTTAATTTTAGCCAAAAATGAGAATGCTTACCCATCTCTGTGGTGGCTGGTTTGCATCGAGCTCTTGGAGCAGCAAGGAGGCAAAGCAGGAAGTAGAAACGACAGGGGTAGAGGTGACCCTCCCAAGCAGCGAGACGACAAGCAATTCCTGGGATGTAATAGGGAAAAACGTGTAAATAATTTTCTTCCCCATGAGTTTATCAAGGGGGTTTTCAGATTTATCAGGATCTGTAAGCGAGAAATTGTTATATGAAGTGGTGCCGTTGTGGTACAGGTAAGGGGAAGATGAGGGATTAGACTCATCATTTCCCCAATTTTATTTGTACAGGAAGAGGAAGGTGTGACCTTTTGTATTTTGGCCACGGGCCATTCTTTTGTAGTCCTTGGCTGTTCTTCCTGTAGGGATGTTATGAGTTAGTAGTTTTCCTCTTACTCACATGAAGAAAAATTAATGAAATAGAGCTCATTATCATACTGCTATAAAAGTTCTTATTGCTGAAACACACATTTATGATGTTTTGCAGGAGACAAGAAGTGTAATTTGGTAATTTTTTATGCTGGAAGAACAAGAGCACATCCAAACTGCTACCTGTTTCACTGCCCTACCACAGACGCTTGTCTGATGAAACCTGCAAAAGGACTTGTGAGCTACAGGATAACCACAGGTAAATAACAGAGAGGTTATTTAATAATAATAATTTAATAATAGCACCCACACTAGAGGACTTTTCCACCCGTGAACTTTCAGAAGTGGCCAGAAAATAGGTTTTTTGTGTTTTTAGTAAAAAGTTCTAAGCCAAACCCTATAAATTGAGAATGTTGCCCCTTTGCTTTGTGGCAAATGGATGGGCAGGTATGTGGTGAGCTTCTTTGTGGGCCCGGCTTCCTGCTTGGAATAACATCATGACCCTTATAAAATTCCTTCACGTTAGACTGAGAGCTCCTCATCATTTGCCCTTGCTTAAAACAAAAAGAAGCTGCTGCCATGTTGATATATTCTAGAAGGAAGATTTCCTGGATGTAACAATGAAGATCACACAATGCAGTGGAAGTACCATGCCCTTTTTAAAGGGCCCATGCTATGCTGATCAGTAATTGGCAGTGGTAATTATCATCTTCTGTTTTCAGTAAGGGAACCTGAAGTGCAGAAGCTGAGGCTGACAGGTATTATGACACAGAATTTAAATGTCACTGTGTATGTTTTAAAGAAAAGAAGTTCATGATGCCTCAGTTTCATTAGTCATTACCTCCCAGAGCTCCCTTATATCTCTCTTTCCAAAAAATACAAATAAAGGAAGGCTATGTTAGTCAAAAAGAGATTTAATAATTAAATACTGGTATTTCTGTTTCCAGACACCCGTGCCCCAGAGGATAAATCCATCAAAACTGAGAACTTTTCTTCAAATGAGTATTCTTTGTCTTCGGATGCAGAAGCCTTTTTTTCTCACAGTCAGGACAGCCCTCAGAATCCTACTGCCACTTTGCAACAATCGGTGTTTCATCAGGCATCTGAACTCGTGAACCACATAGGCAAGCATTTAGACAACATTGAATTTCATACAGATTTTCCCGAATCTCAAAGGGCAGAACAGTCAGAGAGCTTAGATTCCATTCCAAGGGAGAAAGAAATTAACCTGCCACCAAACATGTTTTCTGCTGTTCAGACTGGAAATCCCACTGCTTCATTCCCCACCACTCAGTCTGGTGCTCCTGAAACCAGCAGCGCTGCTCTTCCTCCTCTGCCTGCAAGTACCGCCCAGCTGGAATTTCATACGACCCCTCTGCATCCTCGTGTTGCTAAACCTGCCATCACCCCCACCACAGCTACCTCTCCTCCTGCCACAGCCTCTGCAGCTAAACCTGGTACCCCTGTCACCAGCATCGCTGCTGGTCCTCTTTCCACTCCCACAACTTCTACGACCAAGCGAGTGACCCCAAACTCCAGACCTGCTGCTGCTCCATCAGGGCTCAGGACTCCAGCCGTGTCTCCTGAGCCAACAGCTCTCTCTCGCAATCACATCAGCCACGGAACCCTCCCCTCTTTTTCAGATTCCATTCTCTCTGCTGGCGGTTCCCCCGCATCTCCCCAAAACGACCTTCAGGGTGATGACGCGCCTGACTCAGAAATCCACCTGTCAGAGGGTGTTCTGGGAGGGAAAGGTGCTGTTCAGCTGGGGGAGAAAAGCAGCCTTGTGGCAGCTTTGCTTTTTGGGGTGGTGTTCTTGTTGCTAGTTATTGCGCTGACAGGGAAGAAAATCCACGAGTCTCTTCAGAAGAGGCATTATACCAGGCTGGATTACCTGATCAATGGAATGTACGCTGATGCCTGATGGGGAGAGGGAATAACATTTTAGGGAGCACCTCATTTTTGAGAGGGCAACTCTGAAATGGAACAGTAGATGCTGAAATCTCAGAAGAGGATGGATTCCTTTTCTCTCCTCTAATAGAAAAGCAGAAGGCGGGATATGGGTTTGGTGGGGAAAAGAAATTGCTCTTTCTATGCTGAACTATAACGTCTATCATTTTTGATTTATACTAAATCCTGAAAATAAACACTCAAATCCAAGTTAATCTAAGAAGGTCTTATATTTAAGGAGAAAAAGCATTCCATGAGCTTAATTTGTACCGTGACAAGATTAGTGAAATAGAAGTTTTATAATAAATTGAGTACCTGTGCAGCAGGAGGGTGTTTTCAGTGCTATTTGCACCAAATACCATAGTGTTACATGATTGCCTGGCAATCCTATTTGCTCTATTTGTAGCTATAAAGGAATACTTAGTAATAGAGCTTTGCATTCAAAGTATCCATGTCAGGCAGCATAACCAACACCAAACATCCCGGCAGAGAAGGAAGGGTGACTCCTGAATGAGAGGAAACAATTCTGTTGCAAAATATGAAATGTGACTCACACCCAAGAGATTGTTGCACCTGTCAAGCTTAGTGTGGTGGGAAGCGGGCGTGATCCAAAAGTGGCCTCAAGGCAAGTTTTCTGAAAGCTCTGAGAAAATTCCCTGAAAATTCCATTATTCAGAGATCAAAGAAATGTCAAGAAGCTGAATTCTTACTATAGGGGGGGGGCTGCACACTGCTTTATAGATACAAACCCAGCTGTTCTGTAAATGAAAGGCATTCTGGATAACCTCTTAAAGGTGAACAAAATTAACAAATGAAAAGTATCTCAAATTCATCAGCTTGTGACTGCACTTTGTTTAACCTCAGGTGTTTCTTTTTAACAGACATTTTCAGAGGTTTGTGGCCAAGGAATGTGATAAGAGGGAACAACTTTTCTAGGAGATGAGTTCACAGACTGATAAGGACTGGGTCTAGCTGTAAAAAATGCAGATGCAGACCTTAGGTTGGCCATAATTTACTCTCACGAGAACTAAAACCTCACAAGAAGCTTTCTCTGCTGCAGGTGAGCTCACGGCAGCTTATTTATTGCAGGAGAGGTGCTGAAAACAACCCCTGAATCCTCACTGTGCCTTTCTGCTGTCATTAGCTGGAGGGGAAGATGGTTGGTATTAATTTATCAGGTTACAGTAGCAAAATGTTCAAGGGAAGACAAGCAGGTATATCTTGGGGTTGTTCAGAGCACTGGGCACGTTTCAAATGGGTTTGGATCTTTCTAGAGGAGCCTTTACGAGCCGTGTTTGAACACTAGAGGGCAACAATAGTTTATTAAATGGAATTGACGTGTTCTGAGGATGACAATTACAAAAAGTTTTAATTAGTTCATTTTTTAACTCTCCAAACAGCGGATATTTCGTTCCAAAAAAAATGTTTTATAGGAAAGCTTTTTGTTTACTGGAAGGTTCTGGGTGGGAGATTATTACCAAGAATATGCCTCCATCTTTATTTTTAATAACTACCTAGAAATCAATTAAGAGGGTAAAAAAAGATTTGGGTGCTCCTTGAAATAATAAATTGTCCCAACATCTTGCATTTGTTTGGCCTTACCTTACACATCTCTGAAAAGAGGAAAACTTCATAAAACATCACAGACATTAAACCTAAAGATTAACCATTAGAGGGCAATCTTTTCTGATCTGAGCAGCTCAGCTTGCTTTTCTAGTGCATTTTGAGAATTTGACTCATAAAAACAACACCCACGAAGAGGTGTCATGGTTAATGATCCACAGCCATACTCTTGAGGAGCTCAGTGTCTTTGATGACCTGAAGACTAATTTTTATATTAATATAAAAATTAAGACATAAACATGAGTGTGACTATAAATATGAAATATATACGAGAAATACACATATGATTCTTCCTTACAAAGTTTGAACCGAAGAGGGATGAGCCTCTTTGCTTGCCATAAACTGCACTTTAGCCCAGAAGTGGCTCCTGTGAGTGGCAAAAGAGCTCCTTCCTACATACAGGTGGTGTCTTACACTGTGTGCATTATATAAATTGAAAATTGTTGTAGAAAAGATTGCCAATTACTGTGACACAGTGACTTACCTTTCTTGACCACAGGCATAAATTCTAGTCACTAATCTCTGTGACTAAAAGAGAGCAAGGAAATGTGCAACGCTTCACCGGTAACTAATTTTTAAACTTCAAAGGCTGCAGCGCAAAGCAGAATTGTTAAATATTATGCATATTGCAAAATGCTGAAGGGGTTTGAAAAGGAAATATTCTTAAATTGTTGTTGCTTAAAAAGGCACGCACGTTATGGTTAATAGAGCCCAGATGCTGACTTGGTTTTGAAAAGCTGAGCAAGCTAAAACAAAATAGTGTTTCGGTGTATGTCAGCCTGAAATGTGAGCTCTTTTAAAGGGATGTTTTTTGCTGTATCAACATAGCATTAAAAACACTTTACGAATTTTAGAACAGTAACTTTTCTCAAATGACGTTTTTATAACGTGCCTTTGAAATGCAGCTACGGCTGAATATTCACGGGGAAAGTTTGGGACTTGCCCTGTGGTCTGGTGGGCAGTGCCAAATTAAAATCACAATCCTGCACGGTTCATGCTGAGAACCGTGACCACTGAAGAAGCATATCCTCAAGCAGTCCTGGGTGAGCTTGTTTCCTTTGCTAGGTCTGCCAGGTCTCCTCAGTGTGACAGCTCTCCTCCAGTGGTTTGTAACTTCACTCCTGAACAATTACAGGGCCCTGTTAAAGTGACAAAATACGTGAAAAAAAAATGCTGTGGCAGCTCCAGAGAGGCACAAAGTTACGCCATGTGCTGGGCCCTGCCTTCTGTTTATCACACTGCTTGACACCAAACAGCACCCTCAGGAGGAGGGGGAGGAAAGCAGCCCCTCAAACTGCAGCCCAACAACTGTGCCAACAGCAGAAGAAGAAATCCAAGAGAAAATCAGTTTGCTTAGTGAGGGATGAAGAGGAAGCAGGGCCCTCAGAACAGGAGGAACAGGCAGGGCCAGAGATAATCCCCCAATCCCCATCCCCGGGATAGGATTTTAGCTGCCACTTAGGGAAGAACCCCCGGTGACCTGGCTGCTCCAGCGCTCGGATGTCGTGGCCCACGGTGTGGAACTGGATGGTAGTGAAGCCAAGCAACTGGAATGCCTGTCCTGGGATGTGGGCACTGGGAAGAGGACAGAAACTCTCAGCCTCTGGAGACAACTCCTATTGTCAAGCACGAGGGAAAGGTGTTCTCTCGAGGGATCGGGCTCCCAAGAGACATAGTCAAGACACCAGAGCGTTTCCAGCAGAAACAGATAAGATATGAGGGGGAATGGCATGTAGGGAAATGTGTTTTGTGACGCAGAGTTCAGGCTGGAGGTTTCCCTCAGCTGTGCACTGTGCGATGAAGATACAAACAATTCATTACAGGTCTGCAATCCTTCTCCAGAGGTTAATGACAGACTGTGCAAAATTGTGAGTATGGAAGAAGTATAAGGAAACTGTGTAAGAAAACAAACAAACAAACAAACCACCAACAACCTCTTTTCTTCTCTGATTCCAATTAAACAGTGAAAATAAATTAAAAAATCTGTTCCTTCTGCCCGCTCCTGCAAAACCAACAAGGGTTGGACACAGGTTATCTACTGTCTAGGCTACGTTTTTGCATGGAAAGCCCTTCCCCTCTACTATCCATGAGGATCTTGCTTGAGTTTGCTAATCCTCCCAGCTGACAGCATAGTAACAGAGGAGGCACTTTCATCCATCAGTCAAGGACAACATTTTGTTAATGTAGACCTGGCTTTGGGCAGGTCTCGCTGCTGAGTTGCATTTGAAATATACTTCTTTTTATAAAAAAATGATGAGGTTTTGTTCGGTTTTGTTTTTACACAGTAGAAGTTGAGAGTCTGATATCACATGTCACCAGGAGCCTGTCCTTAGGATCAGTCAACAATGCCCAGGCCTTTAAGCTGGCCCAGATGTTACCTCCTACTGTAATAACAAGAAAAGCTATGAAAATATGTGTTGAACAGACATGAAATTAAAACTTAAATGTTTCTAGCAATCCAGAAAATAATACCAACTTTGGAACGCAAGTGTATCAGGTGTTGCTGTGAAGTTCTTCTTCTTCATATCATTATTCTGCTCACCAGCTGTCACACTCTGTGAGGGAGAACGTGAAGTAGACATTTAGACTTAATGTTCCTTGTTGAAACAATGAAATAGATTTTCTGACCTAGAGGAAAGCAAGCTGCATTTTGTATTATTTATTAGGAACAAACGGAGAAGATGAGGAGGGAAGGGTTTTTTTCTTTAAATCTTAACTTTTTAGCTTCTTCGGGAGAAGGGCACGTTTACGTGAATACAAGAGGGGAAAAAGGCTAAGTTATGTTTAAACACAGCGTATTAGCTACTCATATATTCTTTGTGACTACTGCTCTAAGCAGCACAAACCCATCTTACCACATTTAGTTTAACAAGGTGTGGGGGGGAGATAGATAACCCAAAGCACCCACAAGAGTGCCGGGAAATAAATCACGCACCATTACCTCAGCCGAGCAGCAATTCCCTTGCTGATGTGGGGGGACACACGCCTGCACCCCTTGCTTAGGGAAAGGCCAAGGATCACCGCTGTACACACCGGGTGTGTGTGTGTGTGTGTGTGTGTGTGTGTGTGTGTGTCCCGGCCGTGTCCCCGCTCCCCTCACGGCTCCCCCGCCCCTCAGCGGGGCTCTTTGTGCGCCCGGGCCGGCGCCGCCGCCGTTCTGGGTGACAAGTAGTCCCGGCCCCACGCTCCGTGCCGTGCCGTGTCGTGCCGCAGCCGGCGGAGGGGGCGCGAGGGGGGAAGCAAAGTAGTCCCGCTGGAATGCGACCGCGGCCGCCGCCGCCGCCTCGCCCCGTCCGCGTCCGTCTCCCCCGCGGCCCTAATCGCCCTGCCGCCCGCCCGCCCTCCCGCACGGAGCTCCGCCGGGCCGCGGTCCCCGCCGCGCGGCAAGAGGCTCGCCCGCCCGCCCGCCGGGGAGCGCTGCCGGGGGGCGGGCGCTGCGCCCGGCCGGGAGGAGGCGGGGAAGGAGGCGGAGAGCGAGGGCTGTATCCGTGCGCCGGAGGGAGGGAGGGAGGGAGGGAAGGAGGGAGGGGGACGGAGCGCGGCGTCGGCGCTGAGCGGCGGCCGCGGCCGGCATGGAGGGAAGCGCCCGCTCCCGCGGCGCCGCGCCGGGCCCGGGGGCCTGCTAGGCACGGGCGAGGGGGGGGAACCTCCGCGGCCGCCCTTCCCCGCCTCCCCCCCCCGCCTACCCCCCCAATCTTTTCCCGCCGCCTCCCCCGCCCGCCTGGAAGCATGAACTGGCAGCGGAGGGGCCGCTCCTCGCCGCCGCCTCCCCGCCGGTGAGAGCGAGGAGGGAGGGAGGGAAGATGGGGCCCGTGCTGCGCAGCCTACTCGCCTGCAGTTTTTGTTCGCTGATGAGAGGTGAGCGGGGAGGGGCAGGGGGAAAGTTGCCGGGCTGGCGGCGAGAAGGGGCCATGTTTGGGCGTGCGGGAGGGGAGCGGCCAGGCCTGGCTGCCGGCGGGGCGCGGGGCCCGGGCGGGGAGAGGAGAGCAGAGCAGAGCAGAGCGCTCCCTCCCTCCCTCAGCGCCGGCCGCCTCCTCCTCCCCGCTTCGGGAGCCACTCACCCGGCCCAGCCGGGAGCTGACCGCCCCCCGAGCCGCCCTATTGTTGTTTTCAAGTTTTTTTCCTTCTTTTTATTTTTTTTTCTTTCCTAAAAAAGAGCTCCCCGTACTACCTCGCGTCCCCCATCTCTCCTCACCCCCCCAGCAGTCCGTGGGCTCTGGGGCATTGCTGGGCCGCGCCTATGCCAGGCCGGTACCGCTGTCCCCATTACCAGGCTGCTCTCCTTTCCCCCCCCACGAGTGTCGATCGTGCCGGGAGCCCCGCGTGTCCAGCGTGGGGAGGCTGGAAAATGCTGGTGCTTCACCGACACTTCACTCCTCGCAGCGAAGCGAGCGAGAGGAGGAATGAATGCAGTGCTTCCCTCAGCCGGGCTGGCTCTGCGCTGGCACTTCGGAGAAGTTTGTGTTTCACGGGTGAACCGCCGCGGATGCTCGTACAGCTTTAAATCAGCCCCACGGGGGGATGTCACTTAAAGCAGCTGAGCATTTTGGTTCCACTTCCCGACTCCGACAGAATTTCTTGTCTTGCAGGGTGCAGTCTGAAAGAAAACAGGATTTTTTTATTATTATTATTTTTTTAACGCTGTAAATCTAACTACTGTAGCTGTAACTAATGTAGCTGTTTCTCTGGGTTGAGTATTTCTGGGAAGGAATCGTCTGTGGTGTTTGCATACGTCATTTTGCTGTTTACTCGATTTTTTTTTCTTACTAGATGGGGAAGAGGTTAATTGCTGACAGTTTACCAACGACACTTTGATTTAGAAAATTCATCCACGCTAGAGTGTTTTGGTTAAGATTGGACTAACTCAGGTTAGGTGGTGTAGGCTGAAGTAACCGCTCTGTCTCCAATTGCTCGATGCTCTGAGAAACAAAGATTTTCATCTCCTCCATGGCCTTTTTTTTTCCCACTCTGTGCATCTGTTTGCCATATTGTATCCTGTTTGCAGAGATACAAATACACTTATTTAAATAGTACGTGTAACATTTCGTACTTCTGTATTAACAGTTAAACCCCGATTTTCAAAAGCTGAGTTGAGTCTGGAGTATAGGGAGAAACGGTTTCCTGATTAGTTTATTTTGATAAGTAACAGTCATGCCCGTTCTTAATATACCGTGTTTGTCTTTAGTGTTCAACCTAGTTCAAATGACAGCACAGAAACAGCTGTTGCACGTGATGTCAGACAATGCTGTTCCTTTAATTTCTTCAAATCTCAAAATAGTGGCGTGTGCTTTTGCAGATTTTTGTATATTTGATGCTTAATAGGACGCTTTGAAGAAACATTCAGTTTATAAATCGTGTGACTGTCATTTGTTTTCTTGTCTCTCATCTCTGTTGCCAAGGCCACTTGTGTCTGAACAGCATTTTTGGTTTTTCTGTGTTCGTGGTTCCCTCCTGTCCGATCACCTACCTGAAGTAATAATCTTCTGTTTTGTGACGTGATAGTAATTTTCCTGCTGACTAATTGTTACTTTAGGTGGAGATGAACAGCAGGAACAGTTGAACCGTGAAGAACCAAAAATCAAATTTTAATGCATATATATCCTCCCTCATAAACAGCATCTGTGCAAGTAGAATTGGTTCAGATAAGCTGTGCTGAGTTCAGAGGAGGTGTCAGCAGTTCCTCAGTGAGGCAGAGGCAATGCCAGCATGAGTATGAATAAGCTTGTACATGAAAGTAGAGGTGAAGTTATGAAGTTCACTGTTTGGTTTGCGAATTCGGTGCCGTGGAGGATGCCAGGCCAGCAGTGCTGGAGACAGAAACTCAGAAATGTAGTAGTGAGTGTTTGTGGATTGCAGCATCCCCGCTGCTCCCAGAACTAGCCTCCCTGCTCTCGTAAAAAAGGCAGATGGACCGAGGTTTACAGGACTGAACTGTGGTCATTACTCTGAGGAAACTCTGGTAGACTTGTTCAGCTCTCTGGTAAGGAGTGAAATTGGTACCCTAAATACACAAGGACTTGAAGAAGTACAAGACCGTTACTGGCTGGAAACTGTTGCACAGGGCAAGGCAAAAACCTGTCAAAAGTCATCCGAGGACTGTGATAACCAGATGCTACTGATGTTTTGAGGGCAAGTGTTTGCATTTCTAAGAGCCAGCAGGTTACTGTCATGACATCTTGCTGTGGAGGTTCTGTGCTTTGGGGTTGGGTTGTTGTTTTTTGGGGGTTTTTTTAGTGTTATGGCTGGTGGAAGAAAGAGGTCACTGGTCCCTCTTGGCCATAAAACTCTTGTTTGAATGGGAATCTTATAAATGATGTTTGTGCAGATCTACTGAATATTGCAGACCTCTGTGCTTGAGGTCGGTCAGTGGAGAAATGAAAATGCCTCTCTGGTAGCGGACATTTTAAAACTTCACTTCCCTCTTACGCATTGGGAAGAGGGTTTGTATTAATCCATTATTATCGTTCTAATATTGTTATTGTTTTAATTGGTTTTAATCTGTTGCTTCTTGGCTTTCATAAACAGATCGTTGCTTTTTTGCATTTCTTTTTTTAGGTAGATTCGTTTACATGTTTTTAGAAGAGCTTAATGTTCAAGACTTTCTAAGCTGTAACTGGTGGTGTGTGCACGTATTTTTCTACCAGAAGTCAGAGGAGGGGACAAGGAGTAGGTTTTTGCTTCTGAAGCACTCAGGTTAGAGATGAAGTGTGGTGTTGCCGGTGTGGTTTGTGCCTTCAGGTGAAGGGTCTCTGTACCTTGGACTGTACAATACTTCTTCATTACATGATGCCTCAGAAATCACTGTGCCTTTGTCTGCCATGATTTCCGATGCATTTTCCCCTTTTACCTCTTCAAAAAAAATCTAAGATTAATGTGATCTAACGTGTTACAAAGCCCACCATTACTCTAATAGTTCTTCCAGTTGTGTCTGTGATATAGTTCACTTATCATCAGATTGCTGTGGCTTTTGTTTAAAACTGAAAAATTAAGACTTAGTTTGGTGGTATTTTTTTCTATTTCTTGGAGGTCAGGTGAAATAGCACATTTGGCAAGGTGCACTGAAGATACAGGGAAGTTCTGGGTATTGGGCTAAACTCTCTATATGTGGTCAGAGGTGTATGCAGGTAAAGGATCCCTCAGTGTGAGTTACATGAACATAATCAGGTGGAAAGCTTTGCTCTTGTCTCACAAGATGGTTAGGGGAGACATGAACTGTATTCATGTTTCATGTGCAGAAGGGCTTTTTGTTTTGTTTTGTTTTTCTTCAGGAAGATAGGTCAGGCTCGGGCACATAGGAACCTTTTAAACTCTGTCTTTGGAAGCTGGAGAAATCTGATTCCTTTGGACATCTGTAATCCACCTTTATGATGATGTCGCGTCTCAAAAATGCCAGCATTAAAATTATTTGCTGCGGTGCATGGGATATGGGATTCACTTTAGTTCAAATCCAGTAGAGCAAAGATATTTTTTTTCTTCCTTCTGAGAGGGTGGGCTAGGAGAAGAAAACAGGGAGAAACAGGTCTCAGTTTCTGATCCGTCACCGTTCATCTCCTCTAGCAGCCAGTGTGCAGACTTAAATACTATATTCTTTGTCCCCAGCATATTTAACCTCATTAATTTCCTATGAAATGGTAAATACTCGGGTTGCTTTGCCAGTGCTTTCTTCAAAAGAGTCCAGTTCCTTGTACTGTAGGGAGGGGTCTGTGTTATTGCTGAGTGGCACCAGAGATGCAGTTGTAATTAAAGCTTTTTTGCATGATCCTGCTTCTGGCTGAGCTGGTGGCTCGTCCGTGTCTGGGATTGTGCTCGGCTCCTCTTCCAGTTCTCCTGCTGAGGAGCCCTCACACTGCAACCCACTCAAGAGATTCAGGTGGTGAACTGCCACCCACTTCTTTGGTGGCACTTGGGAGCCATTTGTTCTTTGGAAGTGGTTGGTGGCGGTGAGGCAGTATTACGATGATATGGAATTTCCCCCAGGCTGGACTTTTACCAGCGAGTGATTTGAGTTGCTTAGGAAGATATGGGGGGATGCAGCTGCCTTGCAGACTTCAGGGATGGTCTGTTCCCATTTACAGTTGGCACTAACTTTAAGTGAGCCCTTGAACCCGAATGCCGTGGCTCACCGGAGATGGCTGCTGGTGTGCGCGCTTGAGGTTTACGATGAGCACGCAGTGAGTTCTTGCGCTTCTTCTGTGCTGAGCACTTCGTAAGGATGACTCTCCTGGAGTGTCATTGCTGTCCAATGAAAGGAGTATATTTGCCTTCATTAAACTCTCCAGATACTCTCGTGGGTTGTAAATATTTGTGTCAGGAGATTCACAGTCCGAACAGGCTTGCTGTTTGCTCCACGTGGACAAACCTGGTCGGAGCACCCTGCTTGTGTTTGCAAGCAGAAAGGGGTTTGTTGGTTTTTGTGTCCTGTGAAAGGGTTGTGAATATGGGGTGATTTTATTTTTCTCCTTATGGTTATCTTGCTACAGACCTTTCAATTTTAGTGTAATTGGCACTGTTCCCTGCCAGTTTTGAAAAGGAGTCAAACAGACCGGTCTAGGAATAGAATGAGAACACTGTCCATACCTTCTACTGAAATATCTTATTCTTAATATGCTTTTAAGGAATTAACCAGTCAAAGTCTAGGTTAAAAGAAGCAATGGTTTAGTTAGGTTTTTTTTTTTTGTTTCCTTTGCAAAATGCTGTAAACTGTTTGGAGAAAGAAGTGTATCAGTTTAAAAGACTGAATGCTTTTTGAGCTTCATTATTTATATAGAGAGAACAATAAGGAGATGTTTTTAATATAAACAGACATGGGAAAATGGCAACATTCATGCAGATTTTTTTTTAGTATCTTGTTACAGGATCACATTACCTAAATAGAATTACTCCCTTGTGATATAATCAGTGTGGCAAAAATGGGATTATAGTTTTAATTCTGTTTATGAGGGCCATGTGTGGGCTCTTGATGTCAGATTTGAAAAGTAATCGTATTTGAGACAAAATTTTAATCAATGAGCTATATAATTTTGCTTAATCAAAAATTGTTTTCCACCTCTACGATACCGAACTGTAATGTTCTCCTTTATAATCTTCTCCTGATTACTCCCCTCCCTTCCCAGTATGTTCCCAGAGGAAAAATGTAGTTTGTGTGTACTTTGCTGGGTTTTTTAAACTGTTTACGCCTCCAGAACTCCTTAATAATAAGGATTTTCCTCTGTCTGTTGTCAGAGAATTCAGGCTTCTAGAAAGTGGCTGATGTGTTTGCTGGAATTCTGGAGAGCAGGAATTTGTCAACCTTGTAGTGACTCTTAGTATGTCCATTTAGAAAATGCAGTGATGTTCTAATAACTCAGAAACTTAACTGAGGCTCAACAGTTACCCTTTACCCTGTAGGTAATGGTAAAATTATTAAGATAATTCAGAGTTGTGTGGGTTTGTGTTTATGGGCTTTCTTTTGGATTACCAGAAATTAGCCCCGTTCAATAAGAAAAAGACAAGATTAAATTAATTGAAGTATGTGCACATCTTTCTTTACCCATTAAAACCAATCCCTAGCTGTTCATTTGAACTGGAGTTGTTACTTATTATATTAATCTGTAGTAAACTTTGTAGTCTTAAGAATTTGAATATTTGAAGTGTAGTTTTTGGTTTGAGAACTTTTCTTTCTTCTGGCTGATGGGAAGTTGTTTTAAACTTGCACTCTGATTTTCTTTCAATTTTCTTACAGTACTATCTTCTAGTGCAGTGTGAATTCTTCATATTTTTGCAAAATTTTTGATTCTGTGGGTCATTCTGTCCTCCAGCTGTTTTTTTTTTTTTGTGCTAAATTCTGTGTTCATGCTTGACTACAATTTCCTGATAGCGCTTCCAAAATCTGAACAAACACCAAAAACAAAAACCCAACCATGAAACAGAAAAAAAAATGAGTTCTTTTGTTTGACTCGGTTTTTACCTGGCGGGACAAACTTTTTCAATAAACAGATTGTGGGGATTTAAACACCCACCAGCAGCACTAGGGAAATATTGCCAATGTGTGTGGAACTGGCCTGACTTCATCTGCAGGGTGTCACTCTGGCAGCTGTTTGAGAAACTGCGACAGCGTTGAGGGAAGAGTAGGAGGACACCTGAGGAAGTGTAAATGTTGAAGTTCTGCAGACATTTATGTGTGTCAAGGTATTACTTGATTACATATCCCTAAGGAGCTTTCGTGCTTTCCAGAGCCTGCTACTGGCCCTGGAAGGTGCCAGGATGATTTGGCAGGTGATGCCTTCTGTTCAGAAACTTATTTGCTTGTGATGGCAGGCCAGAGCTCTACAGCGTGCTTCAGTCGTGTGTACTTTTGCTCTAATCTGACGGGGCTGTTGGCTTTTTATGCCTGGACCTGGGATTTCTATCATTCCCTGTAGTCCATTTTATTCTTTTTTTCCTCTCATTCTCTTACTCCCGTCCATGATCTGGCCTGCAAAACTCACAGCAAAGCTCGGTGCAGATGCTGCTGTTGCTGCTGCTGCTTGGTGTGTTTGCTTTTGCACTTGAGATGGTTACTTTTTCACTGGCGAGCTTGACTGTTCTTGTGACCTTTGAGTTGCCATCTGAACAGCTCTTGGATGTCCTTAGCATGGAGAATATAGTTAAGGTTAGCTGAAAAGAGGAGAAAAGGTCCTTTCTGCCAAGTTTGGGCTTCCTCAGGCTCGTTTACTAAACACCTGGTTGGCTGCTGTGTCCTGCAGGTACATTTGTGAAAACAAGGAGGTTCAGAGAGAATAGTGCTCTCTGTTCAAAGTGACAGTGGAATGGGGGCCACTGGTAAATCAGTTCATTAGTGTTATTAGGAAAAAAAAGTATGGAATTGTGTTTGGAATTGGGCAAGTGCTGTGATGGAGAACTTGGGGCAAAATCCTGGCCTGTTGCTTGCTCTCCTGAAAACTGGTATGTACTTGCTGATGATTTTGTTGTTTGGTTGAAAATACAAACCGTCTCTGTGTAAGTTTCTTGAGGCTGGCTCCCTACTTTTGGGAAAAGTTTATTTTAATTTTCAAATTCTCTCTTTTCTTATTTTATACAAGCCTCCCAGGCTTTATTCCCAACGCTACCTCAACCTTGTCATTGTTGCTTCTCTAAACTGAGCAGCAAAGCTCAAACACTCACAGGTAACACGCAGAACTCCTTACAAGCATGAGCAATGATGAAGAAATTTGAAACCGGGAGAATGAAGGAAGAGTCCTCACAAGTGTCAGTTCCAGAATCCATGTGTCAGTCCAGAGACTTTTCATTATGTTCTTGCCTTGATTCTCTGTGGGACATCTTGGGGATGGTTATCGTATTACAGACAGGGAGTTGTGTATTTTGAATGGGTTTAAGGATTAAATTAATGTTGTTTGCTGGTTGTATGTGCCTGTTTCTCTGGATTCCTTCCTTATTGTGCCCCATCCAGGTCTGTGTGTATTTGCTTGGTACATCTCCTCAGTGTCTCCCGTTTCTCCATGTTTGCCATCAAACAAACAAAGTTTTCTCACTCCCTCTTCCTGTCTAAAGACCGTCATAAATCAGTTTATATTCAGTGTTTCTAAATTCAGGATGACAGTCTAAGCAATTAATTTTTTAAAAACCCCACTAGACCCAACAAAACCCTCAGCCCCCACCACCCCTAAACATGTAAAGCAGAACTCGTTTAATTGGAGGTAGGTGAAGGAACTCTTTAGTTCTTTCAGCTTCTCCTAATTCGCATGTGACAGTGTCTCTGGGAAATTGTTTAGTGCCTGATTTTCAAAACTAGCCATTGGATTTAGTCTGTGCTAGTATTTCTAACTTCGGTGCAGGTTTCTCGCATAAGGAACTGTATCTCTTGTGGCAGTGTGGCCTTGACATTACTGAACCACACACATCTTTGGCTCTGTAAATGACAACTTTTTGGTTAGGACACGCATCCTTCTCCAAGTTTAATCTGTGCTGATGAACAAATCTGCGAGTTCCTGGTGACATTTGTGTGGTGACAGTAGTATCTTTTGTAGGCTTTTGCTGAAGAAGGAACGAGGCTGGAATTTGCATCATGCCGTACGTAGCTTGTGATTAAGGACAATTAAGCAGGCATATTACACTTGAGAAACTGCCTGTTTTCATGGCTGCTGCTTTACATTAGTCATCTTAGGTGTTGTTGTGAAAAATATGCTGTGAAAACTGACACAGTAAGCAAATAAAGCCTGTGAAATAAAGGCTTTGTGTTAGAGAACTAAACAGGAGGGGTAGAGCTGAGTGTGAAAGATCTCAGTGTTGTCCATACCTGTAGAGTTATTTTTCTCGCTACCTCCTCCTACCACTTCTGACACTCTGAACCAACGTTTGTCTCATTCTGTGCAATGAATTTTGGATATTTTGTATTATATGTAAAATATCTGAGATACATAGTTTTGGGGAGTATCAACATGCAGGTGGCTCTGAAAGCTTGACATGAATTACGCTGTTATTGAAGCAGTGTGTGTATATTACTGAATTCTATAAAGAAAAATAATCACTGCTTAGGTGGGCCAGCACTGAGTGCTTAGAAAACTGCTTTACTCTTGCCTTCCTTATTCCTATTTAAACGTCCTTCTGTACAGAACAGTGTCACTTGGTTACTTCAAACCCCCATTTTCTTTGTTCTCCGCCTTCTTCTTTATTGCTGTTTTAATAATGCACAGCCCAGAACAGCGAGCTGCGACCTTGGCTTGTAACAAAGTCGAGAAGCTTTAAGTCCGCGCTTTTTAGTCGTAAACGTCTTGTTTAAAAAACATTCTTATGTTAGTGTGGGTTGCAGTTACTCTGAGTGACGTTAATCCCCCCGTCTGTCCCCCTTGTTTGTCCTGTTTGAAGCCGCCCCGCTGCTGCTGTACGCGAACCGCCGGGACCTGCGCCTGGTGGACGCCGCCAACGGCAGGGAGAACGCCACGGTGATCGTGGGCGGCCTGGAGGACGCGGCGGCCGTGGACTTCGTGTTCGTGAAGGGCTTGATCTACTGGAGCGATGTCAGCGAGGAGGCCATCAAGCGGACGGAGTTCAATAAGTCCGGGAGCGTACAAAACGTGGTCATCTCCGGACTGCTGTCGCCCGACGGGCTGGCGTGTGACTGGCTGGGAGAGAAGCTGTACTGGACGGATTCGGAGACAAATCGGATTGAGGTTTCTAACTTGGACGGGTCGCTGAGGAAGGTTTTGTTTTGGCAAGAGTTGGATCAACCCCGAGCAATCGCCTTGGATCCTGGAAGAGGGTAAGTCTCTGTTAACACAAAGTAGTTACAAACGTGGAAGTTTGGGCTATTTCTTGTTTGTTTAAGGATTTTAACTGGGTGATGGTTCTGTTATTGAGGTTACCCTGAGCCGGTCTGCATTATTTACTTCACTTTCTATCAGTGTGATTTGCAAACGGTTTGCACTTCTAAAATTGCATTCATAACGGTTTGTGAACATCAGACTTTCACCCTTCTCATTTTCCTGCAGTCTAATCCATCCCCCCCATTATGCTCAATTGATGTTTATTTCAGTTACAGTTTTAAAGGATTGTAATTAATGAAAAGAAATGATTTAGCAGCAAAACTTACACAAAAGTCATCTTTATCAGCAAGTTCAGTTTTTCATCAGAGTTAAATTGTCAAATGTACTTGATCTAAAGTAGCATACAGAAGTATTTCATGATCAAGTTGGTTTAAGTACCAAACTGTTAGTCTCTTCTGTGTTGGTATGTGTATTTATTAAATGTATCTATCTTGCTGAAAACATGAGAATGCCTACTTGAAAAGGAAATGTTGAGGATTGTATAAGCTAGCACAAATATGTAGTCACGAAGAATGCATTTTCTTGGCAGTGTCCCACGCAGTAAAAATGAGATGTTGTACTGTCCTATTTTCATCTAAGAAGGCACTAAAATGTGAACTGTCTGGATTCTTCTCACAGGCCATCTCCTACATGTACATTTTGAGGTTTGAGCTTCTCATTGCTCGCATTCACACACTACAACTTACTTTAATTTTTGTCAATTTTAGTTGTCTTAGAAAAAAGAAAAGGCAGATCCAGATTCTTGACCAAGTACTACCTGAAAATGCAGTATTGGATATTTGTACTGCTGTTTTCTGGTGTTGTTGGGTTGGTTGGTTTGTATAAAATTTGTTGTCCTAATGGAAAAGATTTCATTATCGTAGTTACGATTCCCCCAAAATTACCCATTAGACAGCTTGATCAGCTTTCTTCATGAGCAGTATTATCAAAATTAACTGGCTTTTCTCACTCCTAGATGTATTGTTGATCACAAAGGGAACTTAGAGTGCCTCCTAGAAGTGGTAACTTATTCCTTGCTTTTCAGGACAGGTTTTAAATCAGGTGACTGTATAGAGTTCCCTTAATTGTTAAACTCTTGTAAAACTTTTGGGTTGTAACAAACTTATTTTTTTCACGTCAACCTTCTGCAGGGAGCACGTACTTTCTTTATGGACCTACTTCTTCTGTTTCTAGGTTTTGTAGGTGATGTGTAGGCAAGTGTTACACTGATATCAAATCTGCAGACTGCTGTGGTGCTGGCACAGACACACAGAGAGTGTATTTAATCTTTCTGCACCTGAGGAGGCTCTGTTTGTCAGAAGGTGTTCCTCGCGAGTGCCTCCCTAAATTCTGGTCACAGCTAGGACAGTAAACAAACCACAAGATATTTTTTTTGGTTACTCAAAGATAATTAAGCCGGCGAAAATTGCAGCGGTATTGCACAGGTTGTCCTGATGAAAATGTTTTTTTTTGTTTTGTTTTGGTCTCATTGATAGTTAATTTTCAAAGTTTCCATCACAAACTTTGCCAGGTTTGTTTGGGATTTGTCACGTTTGCTTCATGTTGTGCAGGTTTCCAGTCCAGTGCTGGGATATTTCAGTGTTGGGTGGATGCTGAAACTGTAAAGGTTTCATTTTATTGCCCGGCTCAAAATGTTGGTTTCTTTCTCATCATCTTTTCTCCTCCTGCGAAGGAGAAGGTGAAGGAAGGTAACCAGAAACCCACATATTTAAAAGAGAGCGAGGACTTGGAGAGGTGACCTCTCCTGTAAATCTTGCTGTGCTGGTTTTCTGTGTTACTGCCACTGTCTGCCTGTCCTCACCCTGCTGCCACAGGTTGCCAGGAACTCAAAGGAACGTCCTTGCTAGTATATTTTCTTCATTTTGAAGGCGTTTTACCCTTTATGAAAAAGGATGGGAGAGATCTGGCTTGTTAAAAAGCAAACTAGAGCGCACAAAATTGGTATCAATATTCAGATATTTGCATCCAGTCTTTGTTTCAACTGAGGTAGTAATTTCTGATCTGCATGAATAACCTCTGTGATGCTTCTGTATCTGCATTTTCAGTCCCTGCAATTAGAACTTTGCATCCAAACCTAGACTTTGAGGACCTGTTGCATTTAAAAAAAAAAAAAAAGAAAATCATTATTTTAGACTTCTATTAAACATGGTGTTAATTAAAAAATGTTCACACACCTGTAAAAATTAAAATAATTCTAAGACAACTTTTAATAACTACCAACAGGAACTCAGAGGGAAATTAATTTTATACTTCATCTTAGGGAAAAGTTTTGTTTGTAAACTCTTTACTGTTTAAGGCAGGATGTCATAGAGGGTGTTGTTTTCCAGAACTGATGATGAGCATTGCAGACAAAGTGTGTTAAAGCAGATCTGCACTAGAAGACATTTATTGGCAAAATTAGCCTTTAGGGATTACAATTTGTTGCACTATGGGGTTTGTGGTTTTTTTTTTTTTTTTTTTTAGAGTGTAAAGTCTGGCCCCTGAGTTTAGACCAAAGGTTTGGTCTGTGTTGTAGAAAAGGGAGCAGAAAGTCACCTTTGTTCTTCTGGAGAAAGTTGATCACTGGATTTATATTGCTGACAAAAAGAACCCATTGGTTTATGGCTCATTTCTTGAAGAAAGCTGATAAATTCCCTTGCTAGCATGATTCGAAACAGACTGATTATATTTTTTTAGGTAAACTATGGATTAAGTTTGTTTAAAAAATGAAAATCAGAGCACTCAGCTATATGAAATTTAGGCATGATTAACAAAGAAAAAGTCTGTAGAAGAACCATCTTTATTTGGCTGCGTTCCTGGAAAAAATAAGACTATCCCTGTGGAGAAAGAGAGCGTTTCAGTAGTGTCTTCATGGTAGAATGGTGAGATAACAGGGATGCTGTTCCAGAGTAATGCTCCAGGTTTTAAACTGTGTGCTCTAAATGCAGATGTGTGGGTGAGGATGTGTTTGTAATGTGCATTTGTGGTGTCTGTGTCTGGTATCTTATACTCCAAACAGCCTAATTATGTTCTACCTTAAAACCTAAAACCCCAACCAAAACACCACACACAAACAGCAATCCCCAGATGCCCATAAATATGGGAACCTTTTTTTTTCCTCTTGGACTGATGAGTAGAAATATAAAGAGCAGTAACTCCTTTTCTGGACCTTACTGGTTCCATCAGAATCCTTCTAATAACACTCCCAAAAAAAACAAAAGTCAGCATTCTGGGCCCCTGGGCCTCCTTTCTTTCCCCACAGTTGTTTAACACATACTTTATATTTTCACTTCTCATTTTCATTTCTCATGGGAACTCTGTCATTTCTCACTTCTAGATCTTAATTCCGCCTTTTAGTGTAAAGTATCAGTTGTATCAAGTTTTCTTTGTCATTTCAAGCGAGAAATAGCTGCATCATCTGCTGTCTTTACTAAGAGCATTTTTCTGAATAAATCTGTTGTGTGGAATTTATTTTTCTTATTTAAAGGCCAGTCCTCATCACTGAGCTGGCAGGCCTAGGATGGCTTGGCCGACTGCTCAATACCATAAACTGAGATTTGTTTTAGTTAAGCTCTGGTTGCTGCTCATAACCACTAAAGGCTTTAGCATCAACCAAATTATGGAGTCCTAATCAAGATTTTTATAACTACAAACCAAATTTGGAGTTAAATGCTGGGTCCTATGGAAACACGAAAGTGCCATGTGTTCTTGAGGTTTGACAGAAATTTGTTACTCAACTAGAGAAGAATTCTGTCCTTGCATAAAAATGTTCTTCTGTTTCAAGGCAGAAATGAGAGCTGGAGAACTGAGCTCCTGAACTGAGGAAACGAGACTTGAAAAACTTAAGTTCTTTAATTAACTAATGAAAATTGAAAAAAAAAAACGAAAGCCAAGGTCAGGATATAGAGGATTTCTGTGCATCAGCTTTTAAATGTCCAGCAGGACACGCCTGAAGCAGAGCCAAGAAGTGACTAGGAGAAAACTCAAAAACTCCTGAACCTTTGGACTTGAATGTTTTACGTACTTATCAGTTTGTGGTCCTGGAGCCAAGGGATTGGAGCAGATATCAGCATGTTTGGAAAAGATGGAACAGAGAGAAACTTCTTAAGATACTCTAAAATATTTTAAAGTTGATGGAGATCGGAAGTAAAAGTTGTCATATTGGAAAATGCTGTCTAACAGCTCGTTATGGACTATCAGAAGTCCTATATTGAAGGGAAGAAAAGATGAAGGGAAAGAAAACAACCCTAAAAAATTAAACAGGCTTGATGAGAACCCCCCTGAAATCAAGTGGAAGGTCATCTGTCGTAGTTGCTTGATCCTTAAACCTCAACGTGAGTGCTGCCTGCCTGATCTTAAGCTCACGAACGATTTGTCATGATGCTTCTGTTGTTGATTTCCAAGGCTGAATATTGTTTGGGGATTGTCATTCCTGAATTCACAGCTGCCTACTCAAGTGAGAAAAATACTTGTAACTGTTTTGTGCCAGTGAAAGAATCTGCAGAGCCAGTTAGCTATAAACTAAATTTATCAAGTAAATAGTACAATATTAATAGTTATTTTGCCATAACAGATAGTGCCCAAGCTAGATAGTGAGAACAAGTATCTGGTTATTTTTATGCCTGATCCTCCTTTTTCATTCATTTTAGTGACATAATGGCTACCTTTTTCTTTTGCACATGTATCTTCCTGGCAGACACATTGTTGTCATGAACTATTAAACTTACCATTTTCACGATTTTCTCTTGCTTCCAAATAAGTTTGCTCTGGTGTGAGCACGGTCAGGGAGTTCTCAGGAATGGAAGATACAGCTTGTCAAGCACATGTGGAGTGAATGCTTGACTAATGTTTCTATGACAGAAAAGCTCTGGGTCCTTTCTTTTTTTTTTTCCTGGATAGATTTGTTACCCTCTTTAGGATTTGAGGTACGTGGAGTTGTTTTCAAGCACTGAAATTC